ACATAAGCAGTAGTATTATATTATAATAATATATGCAATACGACTTCCGATCGTTTTCGCCGGATGCGGAAACATAAAACACGGTCGTCCGGACACGACGACGACGATCGCCCTCGGTCTAGGTGAAGTGTTTTGGGTGGCGTATAGGTAATGCGGTTTCCCTTTTCCTCCCTCCGCCCTTTTCCGTCCGTATTTTTTTTATATTCGTGTACCAACGAATATAAGAGAAACGAGTGAATATTACGTCATCGTATAGGTATAACAGCTATACAATAATATATGTAGGTAGGAGGTACGTGGCTAGAACGGAAAAAAAAGAAAAAAAAAAGAAAAAAAAAAGACATGACGCGTATACCTAAACTTAAGGAAACGGTCTGAATATATACGACATGGTGGAGGAAATACCCGATTTCTACAAGGTGGATCGGCAAAAGAAAACGCGAGCGAACAAAATGATAATAATAATAATAATAATAAACATATAAATACACGTTATAACGTTACTATACTTGCAGATTTCGGTAAACACAAATTAACTGATAGTAAAAGACAGTTTATATTTCTGGATCGATCGGCATCATCACCGGCACCCTGTGGTTATAATGCTATTATTTTTTTTCATCCCACGGCACTGGTGTCGTTCCTCCCCCTCTTGCGAATCCGCGAGGTCATGTTCTATATAGAGCCTATAAAATAGTAAGAGAGTGGTCAACTTAGCTCATCACTCTATTCAATGGAATAGTATTTTGAATACTTGTACAATGTACGCTATGTAATCAGTAACATGCTGTAATATCCCTACATTAAAATATTATGTTATCAAGCAATTATTTACTATTTTTAGAAAAAATACATTAATTTAAATTTGAAAGAGCTTAAAATTATAAATAACAATATGTGTTATAATTTATAACTATTATAAAAATGGATAAAGAAACGTGCCAACCAATCAGAGTGCATTATGCGGTTGGCCATTCTTCTAAAATAAGCCCTTTGTAAAGACAAAAGGATGGATCATGGAACCAAGAAAATCATCTTCATATAAATAACTCATTAAAATGCCACCACTATGATAATAATAATTTAGTGTCGTCTAAAGAATTTTTAATTAAAGCACTGTTTACGTAATGCATATACCAAAAGTAATTATAAATATTTTCTAGGTTGACGAATTTTTTTTTACTTACCTAATACTTTATTTCAAGTGAACATATTCAAAATGCCTTTTGGACAAAGTGCGTCGTCAAATATTTACATTTCATATCATCTACAGAATTTTTCTTAAAATATCTTAAAAGATGTGAATTTCTTATCTCATGGTACATTATTTGAACAATTTATTTAGTTTTACGACAGTATCTTCTGTATATTATAAACAAATTTGACAACAAAAGTGAAGAAACATCAGTTTTTTTTTTATTTCTCGGTTACTTTGAGTAAAAGGGAAAAAACACTACTGATATTATATCACTTAGAATAGTTTTTTGATTACAAAAATGTATCGTTGCTTTCAGGGTGTAAATAAATTACCTTCAAACATCCTATTTAGGAAATGCATATTTTTTTTTTCAAAATGTATGCATTTCTCTAATCCGAATCTCAGTTTTTTTTTTTTTTTTGAAACAAAATTGGCTATATATTAACAATCGTAGTGCGGGAAATACCCAGTTTAGCTACTTAGTCAAAATGTTAAACACCACAGGGCATATTCAATAATAACATTTCCTCAATATTTCAGAAACTTTTCATCTATGTCAAGGGCTTACCTTTGGTGCAAAATTTGTTCGTTTTTTTTTTTATCTTTGGTCGTAGTAAAGAAATACTTAATTTATGTTTGTATAGTTTTTAATACAAGCAAAAAAATTATTGAAAATACATATATTTATACAATTTAGATAAAAAAAAAAAAAAAACGAATTCCCATTAGATTAATTAAAAAATTACATAAAAAAGAAGTTGACTTAAGCTCTTTTTACCAGGAACTAAAGAATTGTACAAGTACTTTAGATACATGTAAACCATAACGACATTTCTATCGAATTAACTGCAATAAAATTTACTACTATATAATATTCAGTAAGTTTGTTGGTGGACTGTCTAATTTAATTATAATATACAAGCCTGTCTATAAAGTTGTAGGCTATAAAAATGTCCATTATTGTATTATTGTCAAATGACACTTCGCTTCAATTTATTTTTATTTAAGAACTCATTAAAAGTTTAATTTTAAAGAGAGGACGAAAAAAACAATAAACGAGAGAATTATCATTATATATATATATAAAATAAAAATAAAATTACAATTGTTTCAATTTTGATAACACTATATGTAGGTATTTAAAAATAAAATATTTTTTAATTGTCTACATTTTTAATCATCTCTTTGTTATTATCCATTTAATTTTTTAATCATTAATACAATTCACGTTCTGGACATAATGTATTTTAAAATATGAATGTATATTTTAATTTTGTTAACATTATATAAACTACATAATTGATAACTTAGATATTTGTAAAGTAAAGAAAATATTATAATATTTATATTATATGTGTACATAAATATAATGATAACGTTTCCGGATATTCTTTTCTATCAGGATGTCCTCTCAAAATATATTTAACAATTTTGATTATTGTTAACTTCAAAAAATTGTAGAAACTTATAACGATCAGCATTAGCACTTGCTAAATACCGTCATTTTGTTTCAAAATAATTGGACAATTTGTTTAAATTGTATAAAACCAATCATTTTAAAAATAGAGGGCAAGTAATTATTAAAAGAAAAAAAGTCTTGAAAATATTGAACATTAACTTATTGCGCATGTCAGATCTCTATAGGACACTGTCTATTCTATACCTTTCAAAATTTTCACCTACTTACGACAGTGATCTACCCACAGTGTGAAGTAAATACTTACGCCTTTTTTTTTCATTTCATATACGAAAGATACGAGTGCACAACTATTAAAGTGATGTGAAAAAAATAAATGGGAGAAATTCTATTTTATTTACTGCGGGTATTATTAAACTTTGTAGACCGTATAAACGAATTATAATTTTATTTCGCAGGCGTATCGCTATGTTTTTGAACGATCGAAAGTTGTTACATTTTTCAAACTGTTATTTCCATTGGTAATTTTCCGTTTTATTTCAATTTCCGTACACGCGTTACCATGAAAAAGAAATTGTTATCGGTTATATTATACCTATACGTAGAAATATAGTGTATATTATTATATTCAGCGGTCTTCAAAGTCAAAATTTAGTCATTATATTATACATATATCGTATAAACGTATAAAACAACGTAAAAATAATAAAAATAACGAATAATTTTGGTTTTTGTTCTCGCCAAGCTCGATAATATTCTTCGTTTAATTTGAAAATAAAACGGACTCGCTCGCAACTGTAGTGGCTAATATTCCGTCGACGTTTCTGAATCCTTGGGTTAAATGGAGGGGGGACAAAATAAAAATAAATAAAAACCTTCGAGCCAAAAAACAACGTAGGTACCTGTACCGGAAAAATAAGAGCCAAATGTCAAAAAAAAAAAAAAAAGTTCACAACATCTCTTCGTTTAAAAGAGGTTCATTACTTCGTTGTTCGGAGAAGTGCCCGCCAGCCAGGTGTTTTTGCTCACTCTTGGGTTTTTTATTTTTTTGTTTGTTATACGCACTGAAACTTGTCTAAAATACATTCCGATTCAGTACCTATTGCACGTTTGAATGTCTGAAACGTCATTTTATTTATAATGATATAATATATTTTTTCCGCTTTGGTGAAAAAAATAAAAAATAAATTTCACGTGACAGTCGATTCGAATGAGCTAAAGAAAATCGATTTTTATAATTCGGCCGAGAACAAAATGAACTACATAAAACATTGATAGTATAGACTATAGAGTAAATTCGATTTAAATCGTATAAAGAATTTTTTAATTCTGTAATTCGTCTAAAAAAAAATTGGATTTTTTCACGCTGTATTTTAATATACGCAGATTTTTCGTCAGACGATAATTTCTTTGAATATTTTTTTTCTAGATATCCTATAGTTACATAGATAGATCGTTAATGTTTTGGTAACATTGATTACGAGAAGAGTGCGAGGGACCCCGGCTAATATTAAACCCCAGTAAACCGGTTTACCGAGCTCCGCCCAGAATCATAATTGGTAAAATTAAAAATGTATTGGCAATATCTGGCGTGAAAAAATTAAATTGCCCTAAATAATTGATCTACTATACGTTCTCAACAATTACCATCATGGTCGTCAAATGATGTGAAATATATTAGGTCAAGTTAGGATATCTTAGATATGCCTTTTTTTTTTTTTTTTTAAATTACATATTTATTGTCATATTATGACGCATATTTTCAGGTATGATATTATAAATTACCATTTATATGTGTACGTTCTTAAAGATAACGACCTGCAAGTTCAATGTAATATAGGTGTAGGTACGAATAAATTAAACTTCGTCGTGTATGCCGTGTCTACCTCATACTATACGTAACCCGAACCTGCACGTGACGAATCACAATACGTCATCGTGACACGACGTGTACTTTCGACTTGCACGTGACCTTCTCGAATAATACACCGGTGCTGCACCGAAACCGAAATTGAATAGACTGCTCGCCGAGAATTTAATTATTGAGTTCGGGTCACGACTTGGCAGCGATATAATAATAATACAATATTTGTACCTACCTACCTACCTACAGCTCGCGATATTATGGTTTTCTTTTATTTATTATTATACCTGCCTATCCTATTTTCGATTTCAGTTCAAATAGTTTTAACGCTCTCATTCCTCTTGAATCGAAATTTTATCAACATCAGCGTTATAATACGAGTATAACACGATATAATATCCGGCCGAGAAAATAATATGATTCGTCGGTCTGCCCAAAAACTGCGGTAATATCGTAAAATGATTATTGTTATTACCTTTTATTATATTCAGCTTCAGAGGCAGTTTAGGCCCATTGCTGCATCACACACTTTCTTCCATCTCTCCATCCAATGATACTTCCTCATTAGTTTTACACGTTTTTAGATTCTTTGAGACTTTATCATGTCGTTGTTTAGTTCTAACTTGTGGCTTCTTTCTTTGTGCTTTCCATACAAGATTTCTTTTGCGATCATGATAGATCTTAGTACATGACCTATTCAACGTCATATTTTCACTCTAATTATCCCAATTATGTTTGGCTCTCCAAAGGTGTTATATATTTCTTCATTTGACAAAATTTTCGGTCCATGTATATCACTCTTCGAAACTTACTTTTATTGCATTTTACCTCGTAATTTTTCCTTTATTCTATCAGTTATTTTTTTTAACTAACTAATTAATTAATTTATAAATGTCTGGTGGGTATAGAGTACAGAAGTCATACATACATGCATCGGTCAAAATAGCATAGTTAATTATTTTGATAGGTTATTTAGGACCGAAAAAACAAAACGGAAGAAAAGCGGGAAAATGTAGGATAACTGTAGACTTTACTTTTAGTAATTTTGCTTCGATTAGAATGATAGCACTTTTTCTTTATTTTTTGATGTTCTATAGAGTTTTCCCAGCAAATGTGAAAAACTGAAAAAAACGTAGAAAAACGAGAAAATCGGTACAATATTTCAACAAATATTATTAACGAAAATATATTATTCCTTTTTAATTATTTTACCATAATATGGCATACTTATTGTTAAAAAAGCATCACAGTTAACTAACCTCTGCTCAGAATTGTTTTTTTGTCAGCAATGGTTTACAGATGTACATTCAATTTCCATATGTATTCTACCTTCCCATTTTCCCACCTAAACAGTTACTGAATCTGCCCATAAGTATCTTTAGACAGCTTTTTTATTACTGATTTCCGTTGGTTACCTACAACTCGGCTGAAAAGATACCCGGTCGCTTTATAATATATATTTCCTGGAATATATTATATACGATTATATACTATATATATAAAAACGTCTATCGGCGCAATCGGGATGTAAAATATTTGAAAGAGACGGTACTTAGATGTATTAAAGGTTCTATAGGTAGGTACGTAGCATGTCGATTACTTGATACGAAACTTTGAGTTTTCTCTTATAATAAGTGCGTGTTAAAAAGAAACACTTTGTTACATTATTATACGTATATACTTTTCGCTATAATATTATCCATACTTTACATAATTTATTATATCTTACGATAATGAACTATACATTTTTCATCAAGTAATTATATTATATATGAGTTAGTAAATACTTTCAAATCTCTGAAGATATTTTCAATTTTTTTTTTTTTTACAATATCGTTAATTTATAATCAATTGTTATTATTATTTTTAGATAATGAATTGGTTTTATTATGATGTGTGATTTTTATTTTTTTTTTCTCTTGTCTATAAATAACTTTTCTACCAGAAATATTGCACCAATCAAAAAATGTCAAAAAAAAAACAGTAGTTTTGTATTATTTTCTTATTGATTGGGCAAAACCAGGAAAATAGTTATCTAAAAAAAGTTTTTATTTGGTACAGACTATATGTGGATAAAATTGTTTGAATTAACTGAAATACTTGAAAATTTAATACAAGGTTCACTATAGGCTGTATTTATTTATTGAACAAAAAAGTTAAATGTTATATAGCAGTGTTTTTTTTATAAAGTTTGATTAAAAAAAATGTCAAAGACAATCGTAAATATTATGGCATATATTAAACATGTATTAAACATTTATAACCGACCATTGCTTAAAATTGCATCTCGTTGGCAATGGTTTATCGTTGCTTACAGATATAAATTTAAAAGTTATTTATGTATCCAATTTCCCACGTTACCACCTAAAACCAGTGGCACACGTATTACCAGTATTAGCTTCTTTTTTTTTTCTTTTTTTGGCTAGGCAGAGGTAAAATACGATATTATCATTATTGTTATTATATTATTATTACGCCTGGCTAAATAAAAACGTTTAAATTATTTTGCAATATCGGTCTCGGTTTCTCGAGTTGTTTTTCTATTTTAACCTCTCCCCTCCGTCTTCTATACTTTTTTATTCTTGCCCGTTCACGTAGACGACGACCGAAGACGTGCATTGCGTTAATATCCTGGACGTCGCGGCGTTTCCTGTTTTCTATCCCTAAGGAATCGAAAATTCGACGACCACTTTTTTTCCTTAACGAAAATCCTCCAAAAGTTCAGTATTTAAATATGAGGATTTTCCAAAATACGTGGATATTTTGCCGGTCCGTACTTTATTTGAAATCCGTTTTGTCATGGATTTCCAACCGTTTTTCTTAAATATCACACGATTTATAAAAAGGGGAAGGGGCTCACATGTTTTGATGATTTTGGATTTTTTAGAGGTTAAAATTGTTATTTGTATTATTTTTTTTTAGGACAAAATTTGGACGCATCCTTGCTTTCGGGTCTCGCTCCGGGTTCTACGGACCGCGGACGTGATCGCGCGTCGGTGGTAAATTAACCGGCCCGAAACGGATTAGACTTGATGCGGTCAAGGCTCGGTGGGCAGCCGGGGTCGAGAGGAAAATATATATATATATTATTATTATACGAATAAAGGAGAGTTCGGATGGCGGGGCGGGGTGAGGGTTGACTGAGGAAGGGTAAAAACGTAAACGCGTGTCCGGCATTAAACATCACGTCGTCATATTATTAGGTGAAAGGATTTAGTTAGAGCCGGCTAATGAAAATATATACCGAAAACGTTCATTTTTTTTTTGAGGTTGCCACCGAGTGTGTCGTACGAAAAATGTCACGCTATGACGCGAGCATCCGTGACGCGACGGTCAGTTAGGTTTTTTTGCTACTTTTCTATTAACATGTAATTGTATAGATATTGCTAGTGTTTATATTCTGTAATAATCAAAATGTAAATAATGGATATTTAAATTTAATTTAACCAAACAACTTTTTTTTTTTTTTTTTTGAGCGAAACAAGTATAAAAACCAATAACATTTTTGGTTTTTCTATACACTTACATGATTTTGACTTTACTGTCTTATATAAAATTAATATTCTCTCTTCGAAACTGTAAAATTAAAATTATGAGGTTACTATTTTAAAATCAAAAATTTATACTCATTTAAAATCTTTAAGGAATATGGGCATTTTAAAACATGTATATTTTTGCGTGATACTAAAATTCGCTCAAAATTGTATAAATTAAATTACTGTAATTGTAACCCACCTAACTAATTTTTTTTTTTTTGCTTTTCCTAACATATGACATTTGTATTTTAACGTTTAATATTAAAATTAAAGAATTCTGAAGATAGTTAATAAATGAAACCATCTGACGATGGCCGAGATCTGTGAATAAGGTGTCAAAAGGTTTTCAGAACTTTTTTTTTTATTATTATATTTATTTACTTATATATTGTAGTATATTATTTTCATGTTTATTTGTTTTCAACACTGTTGCCACAAAAAAATGAACTTGCGATCTCTTGATTAAGTTAAAAGGCCACGTTCACTCTTCGTAGTCTTTCCTTTCCTTCTTGTCACTTTCTCTCTTTAGTCCGTGTCCTTCGGGCTATAATTTTCTTTCGGGATATCATTTTCTTTCGGGATATATTTTTCTCGGGCCGTAACAAGAAACCGACCGACTTTCGAATTACGCGTTTTAAATATAATAATTTTAACGAATTGATTGTTTGGCTTTTTTTCGTTTCGACCATGTAAAAAAACGATGATCTAAATTTAAATAGGCAGTGGCTGTCTTCCTGCGACACGGATCTCGTAACATCACATAAGTAATAAATATGATCACAATTTGAGCAATAATCATAATTTATATAAAAATAAAAACAATTTTTTATAACGTTTTCACTTGCCACGGCGGACATAAAATTTGCTACAATTCAATAACGACAAAACTTCGTTTTCTTTTACCTTTAAAACGAATATATTTACCTACCGATACTTTTATTTCATTTAGGAGAGGTTTTCTTTTTGCTATCCATACATAATAACTCAGATCGTTTCGTAAAAAAATAAATATTTCGAAGACAACAAGCGATACTATTTATGTAAAAACAATAATATGGATAACGCGTATTTTTTTTTATTTCCGCGTCATGCTATTGTTTTTATGTACATATTGAAAATGAATAAAATACTTTAGACAATAATAATATGATTTTGATTAAACTGAACAAAAAAATAAAAATAATTTATAGAAGGAAAAAGCCGTATCTATACGTCAGTGTATAATGCGCTCGCAGAAATTGCTCATTTCCGAAATCTAGGTCACCTAGTTTTCAAATATTATAACGAATATTAAGTTACGTAATCAAAAATTTGTCAAATCTTTTTAACTAGTACTATAATACGAATAATTTTATTTTTTACAATTCCTATGAAGTTAATATTTAAAAAAACAAAAAACAATAACTCTTACTGCTAATGGTTGTGCCACTGTTTTTGGAAGGAAGTTTGAATTATAATTTTTATACGATAAACCATTGTTAACGAAAAACAGACAGAGTATTTTTAGGAATTTTTTTTTTTTTATTGCCAAGGTAACCCAGTAATCAATACAAATTATAGAAAACATTGTTAGGTTTCCTGTTTCTTTAAAAAAACCAAAAGGTCAATGTAAATCTCTTCAATGACTCAAATAGGTCAAAAACGCTACAAAAAAGAATCTTTAAAGTTTTTTCTGTTTTCCGTTATACTTGTAATAAACCTGTAAGTTTCTTGCTTCGCTCAAAATTTTAAAATTCTTTTAAAGCAAAGGAAATTATTATTATTTATTTCATAGGTGCGTCTTCAAGTCAATTTTATAGGTGGAGAAGGGACGGCGTAATATTAAAATATTTGATTGACTAGTTTTTTTTTCGGTTTCAAAATTATTGATTGTAAAAATTTAGTGATATGACTATGGAAATATCGCTATATTTCGTACATAATTATTGAAAGTTTATTTGAAATCGTCGTAGATAGATTACGATGTAAAATATATCACTTTTTATTCCAATATTTCTCGGGCTATCCCTTCAAGTTTATAAATAATTACAGTTTAAGAACCAACCGATTAATACAGAGAAAAAATTTACATTAGGTCTTTACTCTGCTTCACCGAATAAGACATTTATTAACCGTAAGATTCTGAATATTATTCAGAGATTTGGGTTCGGGGTTTTTTTTGTTGCCGTTAA